CCAGGCAAGTATTCTGTAGTGTATGGAAAATGTTCTCAGTACAGTTTGTTAAACATAAACTATTCAATCACATAAACTGTTTTAGAGCTTATTAAACACTTCAGAGTCTGTGTAAAAACAAACAAATGCACATGAACATAGAGAAATAGAAAAAGAAAAAAATATTACTTGATAATCACATATTAGCACATAAAAACTGATTAAAGGTTAAAGAAAGTGAATAAAAAAAACCTGACACCAAGAAATTAAACATTGACAGCCCAGGAGAAATCATAAAACTGTTTCACTATATAACTACATAAAATTACACACAAATTTACCTGAATAACCTTAGACATACAGCAGGTAATCACAACAAAACACAGTAAGTTAATGCTACAGTTTAACCACATGTAAGAAGTTCTGACAGGAACCAGAAGAAGTCATCCTGTGTTAGCCTATATGTATTGACCATATTATCCCACTTGCTCTCTACTTGTTCTTCCTAGAGGCAGTAAGAGTAGAATTGGTCGTAGAGTCTTCTCTCCTGTGGAATCAGCTCCCACTCTGGTTTCAGGGAGGCAGATACCATCTCTATATTTAAGATTCAATGTAAAACATTCCTTTTTGATAAAACTTATAGTTAGGGCTGGATCAGGGCTAACCTGAACTTAGTTATACCCCCCTTGCGGTGAAAGTCTGGTGGCTACCACTCGGATATTTTCATTTGCACATTCAGCCCTCCTAGAGAATGTGTTCTTTATTTTGTGCTCTCTTTCTCTCACTCTCTACTCAACTTTTACAAATATTGTTATTGTTATTCAAACATGCCGCTTCCATTAATAACATCATTATATCTCTAAACACCCTTCTTATTATTTTCATTATTACACCAGTCTGACTGAGCTTAAATATATCAGTTTTAAGTTTAAAATATGGCCTCCCTCCCCTCCCTCTCTCTATCTTGTCTCCCCTCTTCTCCAACCTCCTCTTCAGGGCAGATTACCCGGGGGTGATAGGGGAGTATGGAGTGTGGGAATATGTTTGATTTACCTCACAATCTTGAATCTAACCCGGGCCACTTCGGTATGTGCAGCTGCATCTTCTACAACACATGTAAGACAG